CCAGGAGTGGGGGGCAGAAAGAGAGAGAGAGGTGTTAGGGGAAGGCTGCCAGGTGGGGACGACCTCTGCAGGCGGTGGAGCTGAAGGCCCTCCTCTTGTGCACCGGCTGGCGGGGCAGTGAAGCACCTTTTCCTTTTCTCTATGGGCCTGTGGACTGCCCTGGGCAGAAGCGGGAGGACTTGTTCTTAGCAATGGAAAGGACTGGGGGGGGGCAGAGAGCTTGCTTGGCCTTGTGGTTTGGGCAGGAGCCCTGGACGTGGCACTCAGGAGGGTGCCTCCCTCCCTGCCCCGCGGTGCCAGAGAGTGGTGGCAGGGCTGCCCTGGCCTTGTGGAAGGAAGCGCTCGCTTGCTAATGGGACGTTTTATCCTGGCGGGTCTGCGATGGAGCTCTTTGGAGGAGCGAGTCGGGGACGGGTTGTGCCTGGAAGCTAAGGAGCCCCACCCTCAGTTTGCAAAGCAGCTCGGGCAGCGGTGGAGCCCCCGAGAAGCTGAGGGGGCAGAAGGGCTCAGGATGCGTCCTCTGGAAGGGGCAGGGTGACAGGAGAATTTCGGATGTGAGGATCCTCCTGACGCCCCCTCTTCTTTTTGCTCTCCAGCAACAGCCCCCTTCCCTCTCCTCTTCCTGACTGGGGGCAGCACGGGTAGCAGGGGTCTGGGCAGTCCCCCCCCCCCCATCACAGGCAACAGTTATCCCTCACGAGGCCCAGCGGCTGCCTGGTTCACGCAACCCGCTAGAGCAATGCTTGCTGGAGGCGTGGCTGGTCTGTTCTGCTTTCCCAGTCGCAGAGCAATTGGCAGATGGATGCCTGGCCTGGGCCATCTGATGTGGTCTTCCAATTTGCAGAGGCTTGGGGCTGGGAGCTGGCAGGGCAGGAGGGGCTGAACAGCACCCCTGCCTACCTGCGAGAGGGGCTGGGAGACTCCCCGCTCTTCCTTCTGCTCCTGAGCCAGGAATCTGGGCTCCCCCCTGGTCTGCCAGGCTTGAGCCACCTGGGCTTTCCCTCCCTGGCTCCCCTTGTCTTGTCCCAGCCAAGCAGCCACGTGAGACATGCAGACATCCCCCCTGCGGCCACCCGGCGGAGGACATCCAGTGCCTGCCGAAACCTCTTGCCACTCTCGGGCGCCCAAAGGACATAGTAAGCACATGGGGGGCTAATTTTACTCCCCAACTTTGTCTTCTCCTTCACCCCACTGCCCTTGCTGCCAGATTTTCCCTTTGCCAGGCTCAAGACTGGGCATGAGCCTGATGTGAAAAAAGCATCTGGGAAGGACAGAACGGGGGAGGCGTATCTTACCCCCCGCCTGGTTTGCCCAGAAGCTGCTCCCCAGCTCCTTGGCTTGCTTGTCTCACTGGGTCTGGCTTGGAGACGCGCATCTCGGCTACAGAGGCCCTGTCCAGGAGCGCCGGATGCAGTTGGAAAGCCAGCCACCCAGTGCACCCTAACGCCGCAGAGAAAGCCGTTGCCCCCAATGAACGCAGTCACAGACTTCCTCAAGAGCCAGACTGATATTTCTCCAGTTCCAGGGTGGGCGGTGGAAACGCCGGGGGCTGTTCCAGCTGTTCTGGGGCTCAGGGCCTCCTCCTCCTCTCTCCTTCCCGCCACTCCAGGGTTCCCCCACTGGGGCCCTGCACAGCTGCAGGGACCTTTCCTCCCACCGTGCTCCCTTTCCGGGCAGCAGCCGCTTCCTGGGAGGCACTCAAGGTGGGAGCTGCCCCTGGAGGAGGAGGAGGAGGAGGAGGAAGGGGAGGAAGGCGAGAGCAGAGGCCAGTGGGGCGGAGAGGGGGCCCTGGCCCCGGATGGAACCATTGCAAATCCTGGTGAGCTCTACAAGGGAGAAGAGAATGAGGCGTTAAAGCCAGCCAGGGAGGGTGTTTGGAGAGGCCTTCGCCAGCCAGAGCGGCCCAAGGGCTGTCAACCAAGTGGAGCCAA